TACCCTCATCCGACGAAATATTGTGTCTTATAGCTCTTTCTACCATCCCTTATGAGCACGGAAAATCCGCTTTCTTCAGGTAGAATACATGAATGATTACAAAGTGTACCGAACTCTACGCTGAAGACGATGAGCTCCAGTTGCTTTCACTTCAGTATGCGGACAGGTCGTTCGCATTCAACATCTTCTTACCCAAAACGCGGTAAGGTAGCGCCTCTGTGAGCAAATCCTATAAGAAAACTATTCGATATTAAGCCCACTGTTAAAACGTTTGAATTTACATTAGTTGCTGAACCTTTCACAGATTTTCGGCTCTATTCTTGGACTCGGTTTTCTCAGTTTCCATTGATTTCAGTCCTTTCTCAGAACTGAATTGTAGTCAGTGAATGGAATCGGCACAGTCCAGCAACGTCGGGGAAAGGCCGCTCGCGCTTTTGCTGCTCAACTAGTTCCGATTTACATGTTTCTCCGGTGAATACCATGCGAATACCACCTCGGCTTGCTGCGGTTCCACAAGAGTTCACAAATTTCAGCGGAATGAGACTTGTAAACCGGAACAATTGGGAGCAGCGTAAGTACGAAATGCCCCCCCCCCTCGTTGCCGAACTGCACTTACAACTATTCTGTTAATCTCCGGCATATGTTCAGATTTGGTCTTGATGAAGTCCGATCAAAACTCACCGGAGAGAAAATTCAACAGTTGCTCTCAAAACTGGAAACAACGTTTGTCTCGGTATTGCGAGTTTTTGCTTCTTTTCATGAAGAATTTGTGAGCGACCTTCAGATATGAGATTTGGAGGGGTTCAAATGAATCGAAATCCACATGAAATCTTTTTTAAGATCACAATCCCCAAGATGAAAATCGAGACGGACTTTAAACTCAAAGAAGCGCTAATGGCCATGGGAGTGACTAATATATTCTCTGACAAGGCTGATTTGACTGGAATCGCCGAGAAACCTCCACTCAAAGTTTCACGTGCTGCTCATAGAGCCATCATTGAGGTGGGTTCGTTTCCTTCATTCGAAGAAGCCTTCAGGGCTCTTGCTCTTTGTCTGGAACTACATTTTAGGTAGATGAAGAAGGAACAACCGCAGCTGCTGTCACGCTATTCGAAGAAAACACTAAAGAGACTCTCTTTCAAAAGACCGCTGAACTTCCGAGCCGATCATCCGTTTCTGTTCATCCTTACCAAGGATAAAAATCCTTTGTTCATGGGTCAATTTGTATGAAGAGCTGAACTGACTGTGTTCAATGAATGGTTCATTGGGTCTGCGAATTTGTATGAAGAGCTGAATTGACTGTGCTCAATGAATGGTTCATTGGACTGCGAGCAATCACTGATAATCATTATGAGCGAAATTCCGTTCGGTGAATGCATCAAATGGTGCCCAGCTACTTTGTAACCTCGTCATCCGGAGGGCGGTCGTCAACGGGCCGCAGCGCGTGCCAGGAACTATTTGCTTTTTCCAGGCTAATTTAGTCATTTTTTCCAACTTTTCACTGTTTTGGCTACTTTTCCCAGATTAGCAGCTCCTTATCTTCACAAGGTGGAAAAAATGACTAAATTAGCCTGGAAAAAGCAAATAGTTCCTGGCACGCGCTGCGGCCCGTTGACGACCGCCCTAATCAACTGCCCGGATGACGAGGGTAACATCCAGTGAATTCTTGTTATGAGAGGACTTGGGAGGGCTTAATCGTAACATTTTTTACCTTTACAAGAGTTCACAGGTCTCACCAAAGTGGCAAGTGTAAGTAACATGAACCGGCTAAGGGAACTATCAAAAGTACCAAGCCGAAAAGTGCCCACTGAATATCAATAAAAGGATTTGAGACGTATGTACAAAGTACACCGCCGTGGGGAATCCCATTGGAGAGGTGAGAGGGCTTTGTGATAGCTGAGAGAAAGGGTCGCATGCTCAGGGCGGGTGAGCACTGAACGGCGCAAATACTGTGACAGGGCGCACCACCACTGTCTTACTTCACTGCTGCTAATCAGGGCACGTCCTGCCATTGGGAGAAAATTTGCTCCTTGCTTTCGCACCTTGCTCTGAAATTTCCCCGTCTGGTATGACCCGCCTCTCAGCCCCACTACCATCTTCCTGAAATTATCTAACTACTTTCCACTAATCAGTATTTTCCCTTCCGAAAATTCTCTACTTTTTCTCAAAGAACTGTCGTCGAGCCGTGAAAGAAGAGTGCACGTAAAACAGGACAAATGAGAAGAATTCAAAACCCAAATAATTTTTACGCCAGAGCGGTTAATGCATCTCTCCCTCCATAAACCTGACACGTTCCTTCCTCGCCCTGGGCGGGAGTGCCCAAGGTGCGATGGTCTTGCTCAACGAAGACTGCTGCTTATGTAACCATGACTAGAGACACATCGTCTCGCTTTGTTGAGGTGCCGCCGCTTCTCGAATTTGTCAGCGATTCTTGGTAGGAGCAGACTGTATGGCGCTGCTCGGCTTGGGAAGGGTATTGCACTTGTGCCACATAGCTTTCTCAGTTAAATCGGTCAATAAACAATCACACCTCAGCGAGTCCGCAAGCTCTCGTGAAGCTGTCAAAAGACGTACCTTTGGTCCCCCAACAACCCGAATTGGGCAGTTCGTTTTGTATCGGCACAAAAGAAAATCGAACTTCCAGGTGGATGTGGGTGTTGTGCTTTTCGCTATGCAACGTCCCACGTTCGAATGATGTTTTGGTCTAGCAAGTGATGGCATAAGGGGGAAGTTTTGGTCGTCTGGAGCATAAAAAGCAGCATATGTGCTCATGTATGTATTCCTGATTGCCCATCTAAAAGCCATAAGTGATATTCCTCGAATTGCTAAAGATTCCTTGAAAATACAGTAAGTATCATTATGGAACAATAAACCAAGCTTTTCACGATGCTGCTTTCCGCTTCCCAAATGCCTTGCTCCCAAGGAAGTTATAGCTTCAAAACGAGGGGCATTTCGCACAGTCCGGCCGCTTCGAAAAATCCCGCTTCGGATGTAACAATACAGACATAAACACACCCATGATCGCTCTTCATAAGCTGGATGTTCAGTACGAGACGACTGAAGACCACGCTCCAGACATGTAGGAAAACGTCAGTGCTTTCACACGTCTGTGGGCATCGTTCCCTCAGAAAGAGGGAGGAAGGGGGTAGGGATGGTTCTCCGCTAGTTCCTTCAATCCTCTTAACTTTGTTGGGACCTATGAACCTCTAGAAAGCTGCTTAATTGAGCAAACTCCGCTGAGCCGTTTTGACCAGACTAATTAATCCCTGTGAATTCACGAAATGGTATGAGCTTCATGATGTACGGTTTTATCTGATTTACACGAGACTGGATATCCTTGATAGGTGAACAGCCTGGACAAAGCAAGACTCCACGCAGTGAGATGCGCCCCCCCCCCAAGGCAACCAAGTCCAGGAATCCTTCTAGAATGACCTGAAATTGGAAATTCTGTTCCTATTAGGTCGTTGCAAAAGAAATGCAGGATTTTGCTTGCTTGTATTTAATACTTATTTTATTCCAATAAAATGTTACTTTAATATGAAGTGTTATATATTATTCGAAAGCTTATCTAATGCTCTTTCTAAATGATACTTCAAGATTGGTTGTAATTCTTTTTTATCATTTTTATTGACGTTTTATTGCAGATGTCAAAACGTGAATTTCGCACTATTTTTTCTATGAGTTCAAGCTAGGCCGAAACGCTGCGAGACAGCTCGAAACATTAACGAAGTTTGGGGTCAAGGAAGTGTCAACGAATGTACGGTCCAACGTTGGTTCCAGAAGTTTCGTTCTGGCAACACCAGCCTTGAAGATGAACCTCATGTTTGGTGGTCTGCCGCCGGTCTCATCCATCACAGCTTCCTGAATCCTGGTGAAACAATTACGGCAGAGAAGTACTGTCAACAAATCGACGAAATGCATCAGAAGCTTTAACGCATGTGCCCAAGGTTGGTCAATATCAGTTCGATCGCCTGCGTCCGTTGCGTGCGGTCGGTTCTGCGGGGTGGTCCTGGATATTGATCCCCTACACCCATATTCAGTACCCTGTTCCGTCTTTCGGACACTCAAGCGTCTCCACTGTGAAAATCCGACTTTCTAATCGAGTCCTGACTGCAGCCCCTGTATATTCTATTCTGTTCTGGAACTATATCTTGCTGGTGAATTAGCTGCGTATTTTATTCGCAAGGCAGTCAATTTCTTGCGCCTTGGTCGACGACTTTTCTACCGTGCCATCGATCTGCTCCGTGAGCCCACTCTGGAACATTCCACTGCGACAACCCTTGTGGCTGGGGTCAACTTCACTTTTAGATTAGCCACCTCCACCGGGGTCAGTCGTTTAGAGTTTTTTTTTCAACATCGGCAGGCTCTTGTCGGATCTTTTCACTTGATCTTGGACTTGGCTATAGAAAGTCTCATTATTTGAAGTTCGACGTAACTCATCCTCTTATTATTTCTCTTTTCACAATGGATACTCCAGTCTCCCGATGTGGCAATAACGATCGTAGGGTCAAGAGAAAGCCCCCTGTTTCAACGCCAAGCGATGATGACGGGACTGCTCTGGTCGATGCGATTTCTCTACTGAACGCGGATAACGTCTTGCCATCCCATCTCAAAACCATTATTTGCCACCTTTTGGACGGGCCACTGAAACCGAAGAGCTGGCTCGCAAAAATAGTCTTCTTGAAAAGCGCCTTAGAAATTGAGACTGCTGAGAATGCACGTCTTAAACAAGAAATTGTTTCTCTTAAGCAGGCTCTGTCTGTTAGTAGGAGTTCAACAAACTTGTTGTCTAATTCTGGTAATAGCTCCTCTGATTCTCATTTTGTAAGAAATAGACATGCTTGTTGCGATGATACTGAAATGGCCAGATCAATAGTAATTCATGGCATTGCTGAAATAGAAAATAATGATTGTTCGCAAAGAATTTCGTACCTCTTTGACTGTATTAAGAAAATTTTTCAATTTCTAAACATTGAATGTGCACCAGTTACTTTCTATAGGATGGGAAAGTTCAACCCTCACTATGCTCGCTTAGTCAAAGTTGTTCTTCCTAGCTCATTCTTCCAGAGGCAAGTTCTATCTCGTGCTTCTTTGTTGAAAAATTTTCCTGTACGTGGTATATTCATACGCCCTTCTCTTCCTTTATCTGAAAGAATTCGTCTTCGTGAACTTAGGAAACTTAGAAGGCTTCTAGTGAAGGTAGACATTCCACTGTTTCTTCTGGAACTATTTCTAAACCTCATGATGCTATTGCTGAAAAAACTGTTAATTCGTCTAGTACATTGATGGGCCCTGCTTCCAATCAGACTAATCCATGACTAAGACTAAGAAATAGCTCTATAATTGATTCTGCATTACCTGTCTCATCTCTTTCACCTTCGGGAAACTTGTAATTATTCCTCGGTCCGCTGGTAATGTTTTTCGATGCCTTTAAGCAATATCCGCTCTATTCATAGCAACGCTCATTGTCTTAAGTACATGCTGTCTGCACTGAACAGTGATATCCTGGCCCTGACCGAGACGTGGTTGAAGCCGAAAAGTAAGCTTGAACCCCTACTAGGGCGAGCTTTGTTGCTCCTACGAAACCTTCAGATGCGATAGGCAGAAAATTAAAGGCGGTGGAGTTGCGTTGATGATTAAACGTTGTCTTGTTCCCGGTGCTAATTTTCTGTGAAAGCATTCCCAAGGCATACGAGATTCTTTCATGTGACCTCAATTTGTCCACGGGCACTCATCGATTAATAGTAGTATATAGGGCCCCAAGATGTAATTCAGAGCTGAATGAACAACTAATCAAATGTATAAGTGACCTTTCTTCCAATGACAGCGTCTGTCTGCTAATGGGTGACTTCAATTACCCTGAAGTGGATTGGAGGGGCAACACTTCACCGACTTCGCTTCAGGCTAAGTCGTTTGTTGATATGGTTGTTGCTCACAATTACACACAGTTAGTCACAACCAAAACCAGAGGTGAACATACTCTCGATCTGCTTTTATGCAACAATCCGGATTTGAATTGATAATGTTCGCACCACCGCCCCAGTAGGCAATAGTGACCATGCCTCAATCTGTTTCATCTCTTATGTTACTTTGAGCGTAAGGAGTTTATACTGAAACAGGACTCAGTAAGGCTGACTTTCAGTTAATCAATCAGTATCTCAGCAGTGTTGACTGGGTTGGTACCTTCCAGTCTTGCGCT